TTGGCTAGCTTGTGTGGGCTTCTCTATTTGTGATTCCTATTATATCAATTGAAATCATTACGTTTTTATGGGATGTATTCACTATCTTTTACGTGGTGGTCTGGATTTAGCTAAAAATTATAAGCCAACATTGTGTTTATTTGCATAAAAACAAAAGGAAACATTTTCATTCTTACCACTATCAAATGAGTGTTGCTAGTTTCCTGATTTAGATTGCTTTGTGTTTCTTGATTGATTTTCCATAAATAGTCCATTTCCTTTGTGAGTTTATCCTGCAAAATAAACAAGAAGCTTAGCAATAATGAGGACAGTATAGATTTCATCCTGTTACCAATAAATAAAAGGCTGTAGTTGAAAGAATCATGAATTTAAGTGAGTGGAGTGGTCAGATTTTTCCACGTTAAACAAATTTGGTTCTAATAATTTGGAAGTTAAAAGTGATAGAAACATAACAGAGAGTTTTAAGGGACCCTTCAGATAATAACATCAATTTTCTGAGAAACTGGCTTTGAAAAGTGTTTTGCTGTTGATCACCTCCCACACAGATCCATTCACACATTTGAACAGTGTATCTAAGGAAACCTGCTTTAGTGAAGGCTCAACACAGCTTTGATTAGAGTGTCAAATTAGCGACATTGAAAGGACACATTTCTGTCTTATGATTGACGTGGAATAATCACCACCTCCACCATCTGCATTCCCATCACCATCATTATCACAGGCTCTCCATCTTTGTGATTTAGGATTCTGTAGATTTCAAACTGCCTTAGAGGCATCACATACCCTGCTTTCATCAGCAGCCCATCCTATTGGGCTGTGGCTGTGAGCCATGGGCTCTGGTGACTCAGAGCCGGGCCCACAGAGCAATCTCCTGTCAGCCTCACTGAAGAGCTCCTTAGTCTCCTCATGTCGCACACTGAGCTTGTCTGAGCTGTGGATGTTTCTCTGAGGTCTGGGCTGTCTGGAAAGGAAAGCCAGCTTTTTGAAGGCCACATTGGTTTTGAAATTGGACTTCTCTGAGCTCTCTCTGCATGCAGGGCAGTGCAGTGGTGCTCTGCCTTCTTCCCAGCAGAGGCAGAGGCAGAGCCTGCAAAAGTTGTGCCCACAGGCAATGGTGACCCGGCCTATGAAGAAGGTCATGCATATGGTGCAGGTGACCTCATTCTGGAAGGCCTGCAGGCTGCTGAATCCAGGTTTCTGAAAAATAAAAAAAAAATTCTGAGAATTTCTATCTCTTATTTTATTTGTATTTTCCCCTATGATAGGGGAAAAGAAAAAGGCTGGTAGACAATTTTCTCTGTCTACTTGAGTTCTGTCTAATCTATCCAATAACTTTGCTCCAGTACAAACTGAGACATAGTAAATTAGCAAACATGCTGAATTTATGAAGTTTTTCCTCAATAGCCATTAGAGATTGGGTCCAGGGCTCCCTGAGACACCAAAATCCTAAGATGTTCAATCTCTTTTTAGAAAATGATGTAGGATTTGCATGTAAACTAAGTCTACCCTCCTGAATACTTTATCTCTAGATGACTTTGAATATCTAACACAATGTAAATGCTGTATAAATATTTGTAATGCCATACTGTTTAGGAACAGCAAGAAGATTGTCAAAAATATGTACATGTTTTACTGGGTGCAGTCGCTCAAGCCTCTAATCCCAGCACTTTGGGAGGCTGAGGTTGGCGGATCACGAGGTCAGCAGATCGAGACCATCCTAGCTAACATGGTGAAGTCCAGTCTCTAATTTGTAATTTTAGTAGAGACTAGGTTTCACCATGTTAGCTAGGATGGTCTCGATCTACTGACCTCGTGATCCGCCAACCTCCAGTAGTCCCAGCTACTCTGGAGGCTGAGGCAGGAGAATCTCTTGAACCCAGGAGGCAGAGGTTGCAGTGAGCCAAGATCTGACCACTGAACTCCAGCATGAGCAAGAGAGCAAGACTGTCTCAACAATAACAAAAAAATGAATGTTCAGTACAGCTGCTTTTTCTTCCTGCAGATATTTTTTATCTGAGATTAGTTGTATCCATGGGTATAAAACCCATGGATATGAAGATTCAGCTGTGATTCAAATGGGAAAATGAGACGAGAGTCCTCATGGTATTATTGTTAAACAAGCAGTGCTCTCAATCATCCCCAATTACTTAGACAAGCTTAAATCCTGGGAAGAGGGTAAATGTTGGGATGATTTCTGAGTCACTTATATAAGCTGACTAATGAAGAAGCACATTCTGAGTCTCTTCCTGTCTCTGTCATTCTTTCTCTCTCAATGATACCATGATGATAATATATGAAAGACACTTAGTATCTATGCTGTTATTCTACACTCCCTTCCTCCAAATTCACTTATGAAGTTTTCTTAGACAATTATAAATGAAGTAGGTTTTATCTAAGATTGATTAATCAATCAAAGTGGACTTCAACTGTAAACTCTAAAATTATCAAAATATCAGAACTCTCCCTTTCAATAAATTGAATGTAAATAATGTCTATTAATTTAGAAAAGTTGTTTCCATAGTCAATTCGGATGATCAGAGAGAACACTTTCACATTCTGAAATAGTATTTAAACTATAATGGCAAGAATTAATCAACAACTGATCGATTATCTTCTAAAATAACAAGAAAGTGAAGATAAGTTTTCGGTTTTCTGCTCTAAACTAGAAAATCCAGAAATGCAGTTAATGGAAGCATGGACACAAATTCACCTTTCCCTGTAGTGATTTGTAAGCCTCAGTCTCTTGGGACCCCTTACCACTTGGTTAGATCTATTTTCTTTTCTTTTCTTTCTTTTCCTTTCTTTTCTTTTCTTTTCTTTCTTTTCCTTTCTTTTCTTTTCTTTTCTTTTTTCTTTTCTTTCTTTCTTTCTTCTTTCTTTTTTCTTACCTTCTTTCTTTCTCTATCTTTCTCTTTCTTTCTTCTTTCCTTCTTTCCATCTTTCTTTCTTTTGTTTTTGCAATGTCACTAAAACCTCCAACATTCAGATTCAAGCAATTCTCCTGCCTCAGCCTCCCAAGCAGCTGGTATTACAGGCACCCACCACCATGCCAGGATAATTTTTTCAAGTTTTCAGTAGAGATGGTTTTTCCCTATGTTGGCCAGGCTAGTTTCTAACTCCTGACCTCAAGAGATCTCCCAAACTCGGCCTTCCAAAGGGCTAGGACTACAAGCATGAGCCTGTGCGCTAGGCTGGTTAGATCGATTTTCAACAGCTTTCAAGTGTAGTCTGCAAACTGAAAATTGTAAAGAGGCAGCAAATAGGATCTTTGCAACAAGAATTTTCAAAGCAATTCAACATTTTTAACTTGTACTGTGGTGTACATTATAACCATTACTACATGTCCATATTTTAGTGAACATTTTAGGTATTTGATGGGTTCTATCACTGCATGAAACCATGGAAAGATATCTTTTCACACCTAAAAAATCTAACAATACAGAAAATAGTCACATAAAAAATATCAAATAGCAAGGGAACACAAATCATGTGTTACAAATTAAAGATACTTTATCTTGATTTGACGTAAAATCACTAGGACAGCTACTTGTTTGCTTAGAAAACATCCAAGCATGCTGCCAGGTAAATTTAAAGTATTTTTAAGAGAAAAAGTAAGCATGATGGGTTTACTGTAAATTTGATACTCACAAGACTACTATGAATGGTCTTTCTAGAAGCTCTGTTGATATCCAGATTAGAAGTAACTTCTGGCGCTCCAAAGCCCAACAGCCACAAATCCAGTGGGTCCTCACTGAAGGAGAGGTGTGTGGACAAGCATCCTTTTATAGTGTATGGGCCCATGCAAGACCACACCCACTTCCTGAAACTGATTAGATTGCACAGGAAGGGGTAAATTGGCTGATTAGATTTATAGAGTACAGAAAGCCAGAGTTGGGGGCCCTAAGGTCAGTAGACAAGTTTGGGATGAGATGCAAGAAAGTTGACTTAAGCACAGGTTTTCAAAGAAATACTTTATGTAAAACAATTATTTCATTAAATATGTTTTTATTTTTCACATGCTAACTTTTATTTTTGGGGACAGTGTCTCACTCTGTTGCTCTGGTTGGAGTGCAATGGCTCAATCTCGGCACACTGCAACCTCCGCCTACCTGGTTCAAGTGATTCACCTGCTTCAACCTCCCAAGTAGCTGAGATTATAGGAGCCCGCCATTATGCCCAGCTAATTTACATATTTTTGGAGAGACAGGATTACACCATGTTGGCCAGGCTGGTCTGGAACTCCTAACCTCAGGTGATCCTCCCACTTTGGCCTCCCAAAGTGCTGGGATTACAGGTGTGAGGGACCATGCCCAGCCACATGCTAACTTTTACAATTTTGTTTCTTACTCTGAGTTTTAAAATTATAATTGTTTTAGTGCTTAGCTGTTATTTATCTGATTATGCCCAAAGATAAAACATTAACTGAGATTACTAACACATCTGAACTGTGTGACTCTCTTGTTTAAAAAAGTGTATAGAGGAACTCAGTGGTTCCATATAATTTTATATATAATGCTTAGTGGATTTAGTTATATCAATCTTTTTTTCTTATTTTTACTATTTTATGACTATTTCATAATTATTGTTTTATATAAAAATAAAATGTTTTTTCAATTCATACACCTTTTTGAATAATTTTAAAACAGATACTTTACATATATATGTACATAAGTATCAATAACAATGTATGTATCCATATTTTTAAAATTATATATTATTTACACAATAATTATTGTTATTATTACCCTTTTTTTGAAATGGATTCTCCCTCTGTCACCCAGGCTGGAGTGCAATGGCACAATCTCAGCTCACTGCAACCTCTGTCTCCCAGATTCAAGCAATCCTAATGCCTCAGACTACCAAGTGTCTGGGATTACAGGTGTCTGCCACCATGCCTGGCTAATTTTTGTATTTTTAGTAGAGATGAGGTTTCACCATGTCGGCCAGGCTGGTCTCAAACTGCTGACTTCAGGTGATCTACCTTCCTCCGCCTCCCAAAATGCTGGAATTTCAGGTGTTAGTCAAGGTGCCTGGCTGCTATTTATACAACAATTATATGAATAATTACCTTTAATAGTGTATAAAAGATATTTTTTACATAGTTGTCATGCTAACAGATTTTGTTGTGATTTACCATGATTTAATAAATCACCAATGTTTACACATAGTTGTATTAATAAATTATTTAATGCTTGGGGATTTAGCTCATCTCTATAAACCTAAAACTAACAAACTTTGCTAGAAATTAAAAAAGTAAAAATCTAAATAAAAGTCACCATTTACATATTAACAGACATTAAAACAATTAAAAACTTAATAAAAGCCAGCGTATCCTAGAAGAAGACTGAGTGGCTGCCTTTTTAATCAATCCATGGCATTGCAAATTAGTATGTTTTCTGGTGTCATTTGATCAGCATTATGCTTCAAAAAATAGATCCAAAAAAGTTAAGAAAAGGTAATCATAGATACATATATGCAGAGTTTTCCAGAAATGTTGTTCTTTGAAAACTGCTTCAAACACTTTTTAAAATGTCGTATATTATCTACTGAAGTGTAGAGAAGAAAGGCTTTCTAGTATTCTCACTTTTCAGTAAAAATTCAATGCTATGTTGTGTAGAATGCCCTGTATTAGACAGAAATAAACAATAACCAACTTATGAGACGCATAAAAAAGAATGAACAATAGTTGCAAACTTTAGTGCTAGAGGCTGAAAAAGTTACCATTTATTATACTACAACTGTGTCATCATGTAGAATAGGTAAGAGAGAAAAAGTGGTATTTATTACCTAACAAAAAACACTGTCATTAAAGTGAAAATATCAGACATTTATTAATTATGAATTACATGCCAAAAAGTGTTCTAAGTGATTTTCATGTTCTAGCTTACTTAATTCTCACAGCAACTTCATGAAATAAATAACATTTTCTACTCATTTAAAGAATAAGAAACCTAAGTACAGGAAATCATTTGCCCATAGTTATACTCAAATTAAGTAGGGTTTGAACCCAGCAAGTCTGTCTCTGAAAAATATTTTCATATCAGTGACATTAAATATGTTGCCAAAGTATGCTCCTAAGCCATCAAACTGCATACAATATTTTGGGGGAAATGCTTCTTGCGTACTGGCAGAATTGACTGAAAGTTAACAAAGCTTTCAACTTTTGTGCAGGTTTTGGTGCATTTTATAGAATAATAATATTCACCTTGTCTCACATCTATAATACTGTCCAACACTCTATCAATGACATCACAAAAATCCTGTTGGCATGCTCGGCCAAACCCCATAGCAAAGGCATTGTACAATTCCTACAGTGCCGTGCAGCTCTTCTGTTCAAAGCACAGAATGTTACAGAGGGTCTCACATGTGCGCTTCTCTGATTACTCACAAAAGGAGTGTCTACTATGGACTCTCCATACGTGTAGGGATTGGAGCCAAAATAGTAATAAACCTTCACGTTCTGCACATGAGTCCCGAAAATTAAATTAAAAAAAAATCGAAACTCAGTTCTTAAGGTGCTCATGGTCTAGTAGGTGATACAAAGGAAGGGACAGTCATCCTGAAAGTCTTCCTAATAGAATTACCACCTAAGCAGAAATCCAAAGGATGAGGGTAGTCTTATCTTTTCTGAGGGTAAAGTCTACATGCCAGCAGTTGCCATGAGAAAAGATTTTGGGACCTGGCATAGTGGCTCACGCCTGTAATCCCAGCATTTGGAAGGCCTGGATGGATTGACTAGTTAAGCCAAGAAGTTCAAGACCAGCCTAGGCAACACGGTGAAACTTCATTTCCACAAAAAATACAAAAATTAGACAGACATGACGGTGCATACCTGTAATCTCAGCTACTTGGGAGTCTTAGATTGGAGGATTGCCTGAGCCCAGGAGGTAGAGGTTGCATTGAGCTAAGGTTGTGCCACTGAATCTAGCCTGCGTGACAGAGGGAGACCCTGTCTCTCTCTCTCTCTCTCTCTCTCTCTCTCTCTCTCTCTCTCACACACACACACACACACACACACACACACACACACACACACACAAATTAGTTCTGTTCTCTTGCTGGGTTGATGCCCTTCTATTTCATCTAGGCTAGAATGCTTTCTGAAATGCAAATGTGCCTATCTTCCTACCTGCCTAACCTTATTATGGGATTTTGATAAACTACAAGAAAGTAGTTACACTCTTCTGGATGTCTTCCAAACTTACTTGAAGTATTTGATGCTCAATGTATAAATTGTTCTTCCCTCAAATGCCTTGGATTTTAATAAGAGTGGGTTATTTATATTTCTTTAACTTGCCACAATCACCCATATTTCTATTATTTTATATAATATAATTACCCTGTTAGTAGAAATATAAATAAATAAAATCACTTTAAAATGATATGTGGCACTGCCCAGTAGAATTGACGATCCACAGATTTTATAACCCAGATATTCCACCTATCGGAAGGTGCTGTCAGGAAAGAGAATCTCTTGAATATTTGCATTAGCAGACATGCTCACAAAACCAAAATACAAAAAGAAATCCAAGTGCGCATCAACAAAAAATGAATAAATTTATTATGCACTATGTATCTAACTTTGGGTTATCCACTACAAACTCACTCTTGATTATTTACATAAATAGATCTGGACCCTTTAAATTTTTTTTTCTTTGCCAAGTGTTAAGATGTCGATCTTTGTGAGTAGAAGACATTGGAGAGAAATTCCAAAAACGTGCTTCCAAACTGCTTTGGAAATGACATCTCTGGTACCTGGCCCAGAGGGTATGCAGGGGTACACCAGTTCCCAGGTTCTGTGGTTCAGGCTGCTGCTGTAGCACTGACTTCTTCACGTTCCTGGTGGCTAATGGCTTACAAGAAATCAACTGTGATATTTTTCTACAGTACAAAAAAAAAAAAAAAAGGAAAATGGATATTATAAGAGGGAGCCATTTTTTCTTTTCCTACCTATAAAAAAGTCTATCTGGAAACCCTAAAGATCAATAAATGCTCGTTACAGAAACATTGGATGATCATCCCAGCCTTCACATTGTTAAGACAGTGAAGTAGGCAATAATATAAAACAGAAAATAATTCCAAAAGTCATGTCTAAGGGCCCAAATGGAATGTAACAGTTTCGTTTTATTTTGTTTTTAGATACACATTCATAATTCTCTTACCTTACATTTTTCACTAGTTCTTTATTATCTACATCTAAGCGTCTCAGATTCAAGCTCATATCTTGAGTATCATTCTGTGATAAAAGTTGTAACATAACAAAGCTAAAGGAAAAATAATTGTTGCAATTTTTTCCATGGAAGTAAATTTATTTACTCCAAAGCCTTTTTCCTGGATTTATGTCTTTTCTACTTTGTTATAGTTTTAGCAAAATCATTTCCTGTATGCAATACTAATATTTAAAAATATGTTTGAAAACAAATAATTTGGCCAAGTTATAGTTTATCATCTTTAAAAGTAAAAATTGGCCATTCACATACATGGGTTCGTTTCTTTCAATACTGCATTTTATTTTGTTTGCTTAAGAGATGGAGTCTCGCTTTTTTGCCAGGCTGGATTGCAGAGGCTTGCTCATACGTCTCTACAGCCCCAAACTCCTTGGCTCAAGCAATCTTCCTTTCTTGATTTCCTAAGTACCTGGGATTACAGTGAATAATACTGTGTTTCCTATTCACCTTTACTGGATGATGTAACTACAGATAGAAATGGCTGACCATATTTATTTTTTAAAAATGGTGTGCTTAAGTAGACCTGTACAATTCAAGTCAGTATTTTTCAAGCACGAAATGTATATTTTAAGA